CTGGTGGGTTCAAACTGATGACCTTTCAGTTAGCAGCTGAGTGATTTAACCGCTGTGCCACCAGGGCTCCTTAGGTCCATTTCCTCAGAGCCCCTAGTACGTCCAGGTTGGAACATCTCCATGCGGCTGGGCCGCCACCGCAGGCTCAAGTTCAGAGGTAAAGGATTAGGACAGAGGACAGGAGATGCTTCCTGAGTCTAGGAAAGGCAGGTGAGGGTGGAACCTGGGGAGGCTCTGGACACAATGGGACATGAACTGGAGGCATCCCACTGTCAGCATAAACAAGGACGGGGGCACGAGCGTGTTCTGGGAGAGAGAACGAGCCTGCCGTCTTAGGAAAGGAGGCAGCTCAGCCTCCCCGTCCCTGCCAGCTCCCTACTTTTCCCACCAGCTGTGCCAGCCCAGAAAGTCCCCCACTGACGGGGGCTGGGGGTATCCCCCAGTTCGTCTCCTCCAGACCACCTTTGTTCCCTCCCACTGGTGCTGTGCCCATCTGGAGTTTTGTGGGGAGCAGGATAGGATCAGGTGGTTCAACCAGCCCCACCTCACCAAAGTTCTCCAGAATCACTTGCAGAACTTGGTAAAAGTTTGTATTTCTTGGCTCACCTGAGATTCTCTTGAAGACCATCGGGGTGGTCCCTGTCATTCCTGCTCCCCAGGTGTTGCTGAAGGACAGCCAGGTTTGCAAACCATGGAAACAGTCCAATGCAAATGACTCTGGGATCATTCACATGCCTCCCCCACCCCCACCCCTAGGGACCCATGCCATCCTACCTCTCTGGGAATTGTCCAAACATAGGCAACTCACAACTTGGTCCCTTCCACAGAGGGTGGGGTGGGTGGAGAAGGCCAGATGGGGGAGCTAGGATTTAAAAGCTCTCTGGTTCCAGAATCTGGCATCAGACCAGATAAAAGATCCAAGAAATCTTATTTTGTTGCTTCTGCCCAGTCTTGTCCCAGGAATGCTCGCCTCTGTCAGCTGTCAGCAGGGACACTGTCTGGTCCGCTTGAGGTCTCAGCTTGTTAGAAAATGTCAGACGTGAGGGGTCAATTACCTCTGCTCTAGTCTGAATCCCAGCCCCTCTCCTCTGCACACCTGGGGGTGAAACACCCTCCACTAGCAAGCAGACAATATCTCCATTCCCAACACTTACCCTTCTGTGTCTCACCCTCCCTCAACCCTGCCCTTGTCCTAGGACCCATCTTTCTGTATCCACCTTGTCCCTGGCCCTCTCTGTCCTGGCTGCATACCTCCCAATCCTCATCCCCACCTCCCTATGGTCTCCTTACTCCTTCCAAGCAGTCCTTCTGAAAGCTGGGACAGGCCTTGGGGTGAGAAGCCTGATGCTGGGTTTCCTCCTCAGGAATCCAAATGATTTTTCCAGTTGTAGCCTGGGAATCATAACTCTGAGGTCCTGGTCCAATTTTAAAAATAGATTCTAAGTCATGATCCAATAATCTTCACACATCACACACCAGGATAAATTCCAAATGGATGGAGGATTTAATGTTAAAAACTAAACTACAGAAATTCAAGAAGAAAACATAGGAGAAATTTTGTATGACCTTAGAGTCATAGAGGCCTTTCTAACATTTTTATTAATTTGTTGACTTGAAAACTCAGTATATCTGCAAATCTAAAAACACCACCAGCAAAGTCAAAAGACAAAAGACAAATTCAGTACATTTGCAACACATTGTCACACACCAAAGGCTAAGCACCCTAGCAAACAAAGCCCTTGAAACTGATAAGACCAACAAACTAAAGGAAAAGTGGGCATAGGATTTGGAAAAACAGTTCACATTTTTAAACAGATGAGAAGATACTCAACCTCATTCACAAAAGGAAAAATGCAAATATAACCTACACCAAGAACTCTTAACATTGTAGGTGGGAGTGTAATAATCACTATATAAAAAGGTCTAGCAGATCTTGTAAAACTAATTCCTGTTGTTGTCGTGCGCCATTGAGTTGATCCTGACTCATAGCCACCCTTTAGGACAGAGTAGGACTACCCATTGGTTTCTTAGGCTGTAATCTTTATGGGAGGAAATCACCAGGTCTTTTCCCCTGTGGAGTCGCTGGTGGGTTCAAGCGGATAACCTTTAAGTTAGCACCGGAGCACTTTACCATTGCACCACCAGGGCTCCTAAACCCTCAAAACCAAAACCAAACTCACTGCCATCAAATCAATTCTGACTCATAGCAACCCCCATTGGGTTTCCAAAGCTGTAAATCTTTCCAGAAGCAGACTGACCTATCTTTCTTCCGAGAACCAGCTGGTGGGTTTGAACCACCAACCTTTTGGTTAAAACCTGCTGCCGTCGAGTCAGGTCTGACTCATAGCGACCCCTCCTTGGGTTTCCGAGGCAATGTCACTACAGAAGCAGATTGCCCAACCTTCCTTCCAGGGAGTGGCTGATGGGTTAGTAACCTAATAAACTAAACCCTAACACCCAATAATCCCCTTCTTAAGTATTTATTTACCCAATAGAATGGAAAACAAATATTCACAAAAAGACTAAAGCAACCATATTGACAGCCATTTTATTCATATAGCTGAAAACTAGAAATAGCCAGTACATCAGTGGGAGAATGTTTCAGCAGACCTTGGTAAGTGGACCTTCGTGCGATGGCACCCTTGTCATTGTTGTTAGGTGCCATCGAGTCAGCTCCCACTCACAGTGACCCCGTGTACGACAGAAAGAAACCCCACCTTGTCCTGGGCCAGCCTCGCAACACTTGCTGTGCTTGGGCCCATCATTGCAGCCACCGTGTCGATCCATCTTGTTGAGGGCCGTCCCCTTTTTCATCGACCCTCCACTTTACCAAGCATGATATCCTTCTCCAGGGACTGGTCCCTTCTGACCACATGGCACACTCCTTAGCAGTAAAAAGAACGAGTGACTGACCCAAACAGTAACAAAGCCCAAGACATTTCCCTGAGTGAAAGGAGTCTTCCATGAAGAAGGACATGCCTCTTGGATCGTCAGGCGGCCCTTCACTGCCAGACGCCAGAACCTACCGACATGACTGCCAGGGTCCTGGTGCTGTCCTGGCCTGACATCTCTCCCTCCTGTCCTGGGTGAGGCTTATAGGACCCTCCGAAGAGTTTGTCCCAATGGCCCTCAGGTATACTGTCTGTCTGGGGGACACATGAACCCAGTCTGGGTAGGATACTGAAGGAGTGGGGGGCACCTTGCTTCCCCAGGCTGTTGAAATCTGGGAAAGGCCAGAGCGTCCAGGGCACCCAGATCCTTTCCACTTTGAACATCCAGCCTCCTGAGGACTCAGAATCCTCTCCCCGCAGGGCTGACTCTCCTGTTCCTGGGCATCTGCTTGATGTCCCCTCCTTGAGAGGACTTCTCTGACCAAGCCTCGCGTTACCTCTTTTACTTTCTTCGTGGTGCCTACTGCTTGCAAAACTATCCTATTTGTTTGTTTATCTGTCTTCCTCTTCTGGACAATGAGCTTTCTGAGCTCCCAGAGCCTGCCATATTTTCCTGTCTGGATTCCTGGTAGTTAGGACTGTGCACAGCACTTCAGTCACGCTCAAGACACGTGAGTCCGAAGGCCTGCAGGAGGACCCTGGTCTGCAAAGCACAGCTGTAAGAACCAAGCCGCCAGACTGAGCTGGTGACAAGTTTTCCTGAAACAGCCCAGCAGGAGAAGACAGATAGCCGCCACTTAGCCTTCCGAAGGCCCTGGAACACGACTGCCCCAGAGCCCTGGCTCGCCTGCTCCAGTCAGCCCTCGCGGTCTGCCTGTTGTTGTTGTTGTTCGGGGCCGTCAAGCTGGCTCCGCCGGCGACCCTGTGTACAGCAGAAGGACAGTGTTCCTAGGCCTCCTTCAAACCAGGACCATGACAGAGTGGGGTCAGAGGCCTCTCTTTCCCATACCCAGCCTCTCAGCCCAGTCCTCTGGGGGGCATTCTTCACAACCAATGGCAAGCACCCCCGCCAGCCCCTTCTCTTGATCCCAAGCAACTCTGCCAGATGGGTCTCTTAGGAACCCCCAGTTAAGGGGGGTATTAACAGTACTAACAGTAACTGAAGATCACTACCAGGGAAGGGCCTCGTACAGGAGAGCCAGCCCCTCACTGTGATCACTAACCTCCTCGGTGTTACCATCAGCAACTCCACAAAGACAGCCGACGCCAGGGCCCACCGACGCAGGGATACGCAAAGCATGGTTCCTGGCAGCAAAGAATCTCAGAACACTGGGAAGCCAGACACGTCAATAAACCGTGGCTGAGCCACTGGGCTGCTCTGTTCAAGGCTGGGATGGAATGTGGGGGTGTGTGGGAGCCCCGAGAAGGCCCTGTAAGGACAAGGGTTCCACTTTTGCCGGGACTCCACCAGCAAAGAAAAGGAAACAGTCCCCCTTGGTAAAGGGACTATCATGTGCAAAGGCTCGAGGAGGGACCGTCCACATTTGCGAGGGGTGACTCCAGGGCCCAGAACATGCAGGGCCGGTGGCAGAAGATGGGGTTGCACCCACGAAGACGGGCAAGCCAGGCTGAGGGCATCATCCTGAGAACCACAGGGAATGTCAAAGGGAGAGAGATGCAATCAAACACACATTTCAGGAAGAGTGCTGAGTAGCTGGAAGGGGGCGTGGGGGAGTATGGAGCCTGCAGTGCAGTGAGGGACACTCACATGGCTCCAGGGAAGAGGTGGGGAGGCCTAAGCCAGGAGCCGGCTGGGACGGAAAGGAAAGGACTGGTGGATGCTGATATTGAAGAGGTAGAATCAGGTGACTTGGGGACAGACTAACTGCTGAGTTTTTGTTTGGCCAGGACCTGCCTTCAGGAAGGAAGAGGAGGGTAGATCCCCCTTCTTGCCTGGACAGTGTGCCTGGGGCGGGGCGGGGGCCTCCTGGGGGAGGTCACTGCCCAATAAATAGGCAGTGGGCCAGTCCCAGCCCACACACAGTCCCCCGACTGCGGCCGTCCACCTCGCCCAGGGCTCTCGCCTCACGCACGTTCCCTGCAGTGGCCATGGCTCAGCCACTGGCTCTGAGCCTCCTTGTGCTGGTTCTGGCCCTCTGCAACCCCGGGACCCAAGGTACCAATGCGGGATGTGCCTAGGACGGGGTGAGAGCGCGGGGTCGGGGCCTCGCAGCAGCCCCCGGCTCCCCGTGACCCTCGCCCCTGCAGGCAGCGATGGAGGGGCGCAGGACTGCTGCCTGAGGTACAGCCAGAAGCCCATTCCCAGCCACGCCGTCCGAAGCTACCGGAAGCAGGAGCTGAGTCTGGGTTGCCCCATCACAGCCATCCTGTGAGTGAGCACAAGGCAGCGGGCACAGCTGACTGGGGTGGGCAGGGCGGGCCAGACGTGGACAAGCTTGCTGACCTCCATCCCCAGGTTCAAACCCTGGAAGCGCTCTCAGCTAGAGCTGTGTGCAGACCCCAAGGAGGCCTGGGTGCAGCGGCTGATGAAACGTCTGGACAAGGCGCCGGCCCCACAGAAAAAGCCTCAGGGCTGTGGGGAGCAAAAGGGGGGCTCCAAGCCTGGCAAGAAGAGAAGGTGCTCCAAAGCCTGCAAGAGGTGAGGCGTCTGGAGGGCTGCGAGGGAGGGGGGAGGGGGAGAGGCCAGCGGCCCTCACGCCCCTCTTGTGCCCTCCAGGACTGAGCAGCCCACAGAGCCCAAAAGGGCCTAGCCCAGTGACCAGCCTGGAGCCCAGGAGGCCCCCACCAGCCTCATCAGGGCTTAGAGCCCCAACCCCAGGGGCAAGAAGGGGGCGAGGAGAGAGGGAGGCCCTACCACATCCTTTTCCTGCTCCGACAGCCCACCTATGTTCCCAGCCCCATCCTGCATGGCTGAGTTGACCAGTCTACAACCAGGGAGGCCGTGTGTGGGTGTGTGTGGGGGGTGTCACCCAGTGAACGTAGGAGGGGGTGTGGGACTGACTCTCTCAAGAGAGATCACCTAGGACCCTGCACCTGACCCTGCTCGCCACCGCACCCCACCTCTTCCTTGTATATACGATTTGCACCCAACTGAATAAAAATCCACATCAGCCTCTCACCCAAGTGCCTGGCCTGTGTGTCTGTGTCCATGGGGAAGCCAGTGTCTCTAAGGGCAGGGTCACACATTCCAGAGTCCTCGCCACGAGCTCGGATGGGCTCAGACTAGTACGCCCTCACCTGCCCAAGGCCTTCCTTGCCTCCCAGGTGCCCAGGCCCATGGGCAGTAGAGGGGAGGTTGAGGCAGGGTGGGACGGCATCCCCTCTGGATCTGGGGCTGCCCTGGTCTCTGAGGAATTTCTGCCAAAGTGGGAGACGGCAGAGCATCCACTCCAACTGCTCGGCGGTCCTCCGACACCTGAAGAGACCCCAGCACCCTCCAATCTGTTCAGCACTCTCTCGCCCCAGGAGTGACCTCCAGGCCTTTCCCCAGCCCCAGCGGAGACTGCCTCCCTTTCTTTAGGTTCCATGAGGAAGAAACACCAGGTATCTATCTCCTTGAGACGTCCCAGGAGAGAAGCTGTCACGCTTCCCTCCCACCTGAGCCCTGTGGCCTGGGCCAGCCTGGAACACAGGTTCTACTGAAACCCATCTTAGCAACAGTGCCAGCTCTGGGACCCCTCTGGACCCCCTCTTCTCCCAAAGACCCCAGGACTCCCTCCTGCCTCGTCAATGAAGCTCGGTGCCTGGCCTGTCCTCTGTGCTCAGTGGGCTGCCGGCATCTCTTGTTCCTGCCTGGGCTCCTTGGGAAAACCCTCTCCCTTTCCTTTTCCCGCCGTTCTCTCCTGGCTGCCGTTCAGCTCCTTACCCTTTTTCAACCTCCGAGGCCAAGGAGTATGTCTCCAGGGCAGCTCTCTGGGAACCCAGGACTCATTCTTTTCTCCAAGAAGAGCCCAGCTCGGCTCCCCTCTGCCTCTCCCTCTCAGAACTCCTGCCCTCCTCCCGCCCCAGGCAGGGACAGCAGGGACCATCAGCTGGGGCCAGGCGAAGTGGGAGAGAGAGGAACAGATCCAAGGGAAGGGTCAAGAAAGGAAGGGATCCGCGGAGCTAGAGGTGTCCCGCCCCAGGAGCCTACGGTGCCCCAGCACCTACCACCCACCCTAAAATCTTCCCAGTGCTTGCTTATCTGCTCCCCCTGTGGCTGGTGAGGACAGGGGCTCCTCGCTACCTGCCCTGCTGCAGCAGGTCCGACCTCAGCCCATAAACTCAGATGTGCCAGCAATACGCCGTGTTCAGATGGTCTTTAAATCGGCTTAACTCCTACTCCAAGCCCCTGTGCTGGCGTGCTGGGGACAACCCACCATCAGCAGCTCCTGAAGACCTCACCCGCCAAGGGCTGTGCAAAAGCCACTGAGCCCTCAAGGCACAGAGGCGGCTCCCTGCCTGCCCCGACCCCATCCACCCCTGGACAGCCCCCTCACCGCGGATCCCGGTGGCTCCTGGGCTCCTGGCAAGGCTGTCTCTTCAGGTTGTGACTCCCAGACTCGCAGCCCTGTGCCACATTTGACACATTCAGATTTGACAGCTGGGGCCTGGCCTCCTCAGACAGCCCTGAAAGCCACCTACTGAGAGTTGCGTCCCTCACTCTGTCACTGCGGGGACTAGAGCCCAGTGCGGCGGAACCTGCAGGCCAGACCCCTCCTGGCTCTAGGACTCTCTTCCACCCACTGCTCAACCTCCCCCAGCGCTGCTCCCAGCCCCTCAGGGCAGCACTGTGACCCAGGTTTATTTGGATACGCGGCTGTCTCTGCTCTCAGCCCTGCTGAAGCCCTTGCCTGTTCCAAAGAGGACGGAAAGCACAGGCAGAACCAATGAGAATTCACGTGGCACTCAGCCGCTGGCCGCACCTGCGCGCCTGGTATCTGCCTCGGCCCCGTCCTGAGTGGCACGCCACATGTTATCTATCCCAGCCGAGTGAGTGGTTCCTCTGGTGGCTTTGTCTTTCCCAGTGTTGTCCTGTCCTTCCTTTTCTCTGTAAGATGAATAATTCAATAATTAGGAAATAGCACATACTTGTGGTTAAACAAAAAAAGTACCAAAAGGGTTACTTTGAGCAGCCACCGTGTCCTCCAGCTTCCAGCTGCCAGCTATTCCTTCCAGGAGTCCGTGCCCCCTGCCTCGTTTCCACAGCTCTGTTTCTAGACTTATTTTTAACTTTGCCACTTGGCTCCCTTCTCTCAAAAGGGAAGATTCCTCTTCCTCACCAACCCCCAGCTCCTCTCATCCTACCCGCCAAAGAGCCATTTTTACCACTTGGTCTGAAGGCCATTCTGACTCGGGAAGACCCATGAGTGTCAGAGCACAACCTGTACTCAGTAGAGCTTTCAACGGCTGATTGAAATGGCATGATCACCATGTTTTTCTCTCCCAGGGCGGGGGGGGGACTTGAACTCCCAGCCTTTCAGTCAGTAGCTGAGTGTTGATCAGTTGATCAGCCAAGGACCCCAAATACCGACATACCACTACATCAATATATATGCAAATACTCATGTAAGGAATGGGAGGGCGTGTCAGAGCTGGAATTACGGCGAATGGGAACCTCAGTCATATAAATGGAGGCTAATTGCAGACCAAGCAGCCAGGGTTCCCAACGGCCTGCAGCCCGCCAGGCCGCACTCTAGCTCGGCCACAACTCACTCTTCACTGTTCTGGAGGGACATGGTCCCAAGGACAGCTTGATTCTTTTGAAAACTGAAAGCGGCCCAGCATGAGGCTGCCTGCACTACACGACCCACATCCTGGCATCTTCTGCCTGGCAGGATGGCACAGTGATGGTCAGGGGTAGGACCATGCTGGCGACTTAGGGAAGAACACAACCGTTTTATGCCCCGTTGGCTCACTTCCCTGTG